TATCAATCAAACACATCATGACCGAGTGCAACACCTACCGTGATGCAATGGAACACAATCATCTTCCGGAAGACATATTTGAAAGCCTCGGACCTAACCTACCAGTCTCCAATATAATAGCCTTCCTTCAACAGTCTGGTTTGCTCAAACTTATCTAATAACCATACACATTAAATAATCATTTTTTATTCTTTTTTGTTTTTTGTTTTTGTTTTCTAGCACATAACATGTAGTAACATTATTATTATATATTATATATCCTAATGGCCTTGCTGCCGAGGGTTTTTGTTTTTTCTTAATAAAAAAAAAAATAATAAAAAAATAATAATTTATAAAAATTTAAAAATTTAAGTTAAAAAAAATAAAAAAATAAAAAATCTATAAATATGCAATTATATTATGCATTGTGTTCAAAACTTCAAAATATAAAAAAATATGCAAAAAAAAATTGGTTCTATTTAAATGAGAACAAACCAAATCGTGGAAAAATCTGACAACCAATCAATTTGGACTTAAGGAAAAAAACATGCAAATGCATATAAATCCTAGCCCTACTAATAACTAATTTTGTCAACACACGACTTGTTAGTTAGGAGAAAAAACAATTTTCACGTAAATTCAGTTTTTTTGACAGAATCGATTTTCTTTTAATTCAAAAACGAATAACCATGACAATTTGAAATGTCAGCAAATGTTTATATTATAATTGTCTGTACATGGTATAGTTTTCAAAATATTTTGACCAATTTTTAGCTACCTATTCAAACACATTTAAAAATATTAATGTTATGCCCGATCAAAAAGCTTGAAAATGTAATACAAGGTTTTTTATGTATTGTTTACGAGGAATATGAAAATAATAGACCATAATTTAAACAAAAAACATCAATTTTAGCTATATTATTGTAGTCGTTCTAACATATTACTACTTGTGGTGACTTTGCTTCATTGAACCTTTTAAATATACCGACCGTAGAATCATGTGAATTTAATGTATCATGTGAGTTAAATTAATTGGGCATACATAATAGTAGCTCAAATATATTAAAGTTGTACGGAGTCACTGAAAATCAAAACAAATTGGTCCATTTCATTTAAAATTAGTGTGATTTTTTTTTTTTGTAAATCAAATAAACGGTTGAATGGAACAAAAAGAAAATAAGTAATACTTAATCGAAAATACCGAGTTCTTGTATTTAATTGTCCAATAGTCCTTACATTTTTAAAATATCTACGTATATAATATCTAACATGTTAACAAATATACCCATTAAGTACACATGTCACATATTTGTACGTAGTTTTTAGCATTGTTCATAGGTATAATTAAACTGTGAAACATGAATTTGTATTTGTCGCTAGTGAGTAAACATAGTATGTACCTATAAACCTAACTTATGAGAAAACACGATTGCAAATCCAAGGATTATTCTACGAAATATATTACAATGATTGATAAAAAAATATTTTTAAATAATAAATTCAATTGATGTGAACCCATGTGGTATAGAAATGTTTTCTACAATCCGTAGATGAAATTCAGGTATTCCCTATAGGAAGTTGTTTGGTATAATTGGGTAAAATGAATGGTAATTTTTTTTTTTTGCTTATTTGATTATTTGAACATAAAGATGCCAACATAACGAGCATAAAATAAACTATAGACTAGGTATAACTTACGAGTTACGAAATATTCGAAAAATTAACCCATGACATTGATGTTGTACCAAAATAGCATACCCAGGACGCCGTGTGATTAAAATTGTATTGCACTATAATAATACAATGACAAATTAGCATTATACGTATTGTTTTAACTTGTATTTAAGCAACCACCAATATAATGTCCCATATTATTATATTTTATACACACAATGGCATTTTTAAATGGAATTTTTTCTAGAAAAATGAATTTAATCTACTATAATATAGTATATTAGTACTAATGACTATTATATATACTATATAGTATACTAACATAAACTACTTTCATCACAATAATATCATTAAAATACTTCTTATTTGTAATATTATAGACTGACGGTCTGTCTTTGCTTAGAATCTCTTTTCGTATGTAATGACCTTATATCGTTGAATTCAAATTTAACACATCCATTCCAGCGACTCTTTGGACACTCAATATACAGACAGAACGTTACCCACTTACCCGCTTCTTTAAAATTATTATTGTTGAGTGAGGACACTTTTCTTTATCAGCACAGTTGTCGGTAATATAGAATTTTTTTTATATATACGTTTTATCCTATCAAAGCTCAGGGAAATAGCTATAATAAAGAGGCCAAATTTCACCAATAGTATAGAAAAATGATGTTATACCAAGTTAGCTATTTAGTTGTATTATATAATAAACTACTGGGTGTGCGAGGTATGCATTGCACATCGACTCCAAACATATATAGACCTCCAATCGGTGTGTTAAGATTAGTTTAATAATATAGTCATGGCCGTGAAAATTCTAATTTAAAGACCCTCAATATGGCTTTAATTTAAGGGTCAGGCAATTAAGCAATTTTTAATCTCGTTATCATCACCCAGGATCTATGTGTTAGTTTTTAGTTCTTAATTGTGAATTATTAGTATTAATATTATTATTATTATTATTATTATAGTGTGAGTACCAACATAGATGCCACTTTCGTAAGCATGTGTACATGTCATAATAACTCGACATAAATATTAAACTCATTATACGAATTTTAAGATAACTATCGTATTGTTTTGACAAAGTTAAAGTTATTTCTGGTTTTAATTCTGAAAAAAAAAATTGAATTCAGCTATAAAATGTATACAGAGTTATCCAACAAGTATGCTCACCCCATTTTTTTTCTAATAATGAAGTTTTTCAAAATTTAATTTTTGGAATCTTTAAATATACTCAAAGACCATATTTTCATATTCTTGAGATTTTTTTGTAGCACTCAAGGAGTGTCCTGCGGTGATACGAACCTTTGTTTTTCAAATGGGAACCCCACTTTTTTACTGTAAATTATTTAGCGGATACCTATGAGCATTTAGATGTATTGAAATCAAAATTCTAACGAGTAGTTTTCTAACTATTACACATTTTGTGCTAAGGATAATATAGTTTATTATAGGGAAGAAGGATATACTTATACAGTATACGTTGTGATCTATAGTCTATACACATAATATAAAATAATGCGTCATTTTATATTATTTATTTAGTCAAACACTTAGATAAATAGCAAGTGAAATCCTTCTTGATTTATTTATTTATTTTTCTTATTACATTATTCCATGTGTAGAACTGTATAAGCATATCCCTATTATGGACTATATCATTAGTAAAAATTGTTCCAATAACTAGGAAACCACTCATTCGAATTTTGATTTCGATACATCAAAATTCTCAAAAAAATTATCCTCCAAATAATTTAAAGAAAAAATTATGGTTCTCATTTGAAAAACAAAGGTTAGTATCGCCACAGGACACTCCTTATGTGGCACAAAAAATCTCAAAAATATGAAAAAATGGTCTTTAAGTATATTTAAAGATTCCAAAACTCAGATTTTAAAAAACTTCATTGTTAAAGAAAAAGGGGGGGGGGGTGAGCATACTTGTTGTTACTGGAAATTAACTTTAATTGTTAACAACCGTTTGATGTTCAAATTTTTTCTACGTTGGATATTCATCTTAAATTAACTATTTCGCTCCAATCGTTTTTTGATATTTTGTTGTAATTAAAAAACGAATAACCAAAATACAATACTTGAGATTTTCACCGAATGCTTACATTACCATTTTTTATTTATTTGTACATGGTAATATTTTGTCACGTTTTGATTTTACAGCAATTTACAAATATTAAAGTTAAGTTGGCATGATGTTTTTTTTTATGAATATCTTTAACGCATAGGTAAATCAATAAAAAAGGGACAGAGCATTGGACATTTATAATGGGTATCTAGCCTCCCTAATATATTTGATCACCCTACGCCTATGTCCATACTCTATATCATAGTTTTGCATTACTTATGCACTCTCTATAAATTATGTGAAAAAATATTCAAATGCCATCTACAATAAAATGGAAAACGGTTAAAACTATTTAAAGCAAACATTTTCTAGACCACCCTCGACAATATAAACCCTGGCTATTGTATATTATTTAGAGTTGGTAAATATTTTTGTTGAAAAAAATATTGAGGCCCCAAATTAAAGCTTTCACACCAGCCTCGTGTGGCTTAATTGTGGCCCTGCAGTATATCTGGGGTTTTTATAATTATATTGGCTACAAAATATTAATATTATATACCTATAGTCTATACATAATAATATGCACCTAGTGAGTTATAGCATCATTGGGCGTTTGCCTGACTGAAAGTCAATATGTAAGTATTTCGGTATATTCGTATGATCAATTATTATCATCTCGTTTATCCACCAAATCCAACGCGTATTCTTTCTTATTCTTGCTATGATTTCAAAAAGACTTGATACATTAAAATATCGTTACGTTTCGATAATGGACATGTTATAGCTGGTATTAATGATGATGATAATATTATTCCCACTGTGACCTAACGTTATCAATGATTTTTACGGCTGTTCAATATTATTAATCGATTTTAAAATAATTAACAAGCGAACCGACTTGAGTGTGTGGGTATTAATCAACTATGCTCGTTCAAGTAAGTCGAAACATATGCGATAATATTCTATTATAATTTAACGATCTGAATACAATTTGAATACCGCACACCGTTATTAATGTTTTCAATAGGGTAAACCGTTTTCTAATCGCTAGATTATATTATTATCGGGTCCCCTCCCCACAGCTCGCCGATAGGATAGGTACAGATGCAGACATACATGCATATGTAGGTACACTTACTATTTAGTGGTAGTAAATGAACGTAATGATAAAACGACGATAATAATAATAATAATAATAATTGTAACAATATTCACTAATATCTAATTATTTTTTTCTTAGTGATGATTCGGCCTACGACGGGTGTACAATCCTAGAAGTATCGATCCAGTGCGCTAACCGTCACAATAATATAAATTATTAAACAGTGAAGTGTTTTAGCATTATTATATAATTATATACCTATCAATAATTGTCATTATTTTTGAACATCATGTTTAAATACAACCAGGGCAGGGATCGATTCGTGCCCGATCGGCATCGAAGCCCTTATTCGTTTTATTCTGCACATCACATCGCTGCAAATCACCAATACGATTGTGTTTCCAACTTCAGCTTCGATGAACCCGGAACCGTAAGTACCTGTACCTATATATTTGCACTGTACTTTCGTGTGTGCACTGTGCATTTTTGTTTCTGATTGCATATATTTCGATTAAAGCATGCACAGAGACACTGCGAGTGTATTCATACAATTAGACGGTTCAAATAACAATCGCGTAAAGATTTTATAATAAAACATTTCATGACGTCCGTCGATCGCGTTAACGTCGATCATTTATCGTTGGTCTTCATGTTATCCACAATCTTGCAATGAGACATGAGCTAATCAATTTTATAATTAAAATTTCGATATTGATTTTTCAAAATTTTTCACCAGCTCACGCTCCAGTATAGTAATTTTAACACATTAATCTGCATTAATACCGGCCCAATAAAATAAGAATTAAGAATCCAACTGCTTAATTTCACGCAACACTCGAATTGAGGTTCACCCCAATCATCTGCAGCTGCAGTTGAACATTGGCTTTTTTGTTCTTTACCTGTGACTCGGAATTTTGTAAAAATCTTATTGAGAGTAAGTGCTCTAATATATCGATTATAAGTATATAGTTCGAAATATAATAGTGACATTTGAGGGGTGACAATCCAAAACGTACTATTTCCATTTTCCACTTTTTTTAGTATTTATGGATTTGTGTGACGAACTACTGAAGTTGTTTTGAGATATGGTAATCTTACCAAAAAATGTGTACAATTGTAATAAACGTTTTTTTGCTATGTTCCCTAAGTTATATTGTAATTAAATGTCCTAAATTTGACATCCAAGTATACTAATTGCGACAAAACGAACCATTTTCATTTAATAGTAAGTTTTGGCATAATTTCAGAAAATAGTACATTTTGTTGTTTATTTTTACAAAACGTACTATTTCCCGAATTAGTGCGTTTAACTTAGGAGTGTATAATTATTCTATATTATTTATTTTTCTATTTGGTCACATTTTTTAAAAGTTATCAAAAATAGTTATAATTTTTCTTTATTCTATGACAGGTAGTATATGAATAAAATAAATGTATAGGTACTTATTCGATAAAAATAAATCCTTAGCTAGGTAATATCCTTTTACAAAAATATATACATTAATATTACCTTAACATGGAGAAATAAATATCTTTATAATATGTATACTCCATAAGTATAATAAAATATAATGTGTTTATAGGTATATTCGTAACATATAAAATATACGTAAACAGTATTTAATTATTATTTTGTAATAATTTATACCAAATTGTAATCAATATTATAGGACATAGGTCTTTACTTAGGAGCAAAACTCTTTGTAAAATAAATTATAAAACAAAACTTAAAGTTATCATTTATTAATCATAGATAGTAAATAAACTGTAACAGTCCATTACTTAGGATTATTACCTACTTATTCTAATCGGTTTATTTATGTGCCACGATTATACTGATTTCTGGTTTAGACGGTTTAGTATAATATGATTGAGTTTAATATTGGGTTGGCGATTTCATGGTTTTAAAAAAAATACGATCGTGGTTTGAATACGTTTATTTTGAACTTGTGTAATGCATGGTCTCGGTTTATCCAACCGCTAAGTGCTCAAAATCGATAAAAAATCTTAGGTATTGTCAATTGATATATTGGTCCAATGTTTGGATAGGATTTCCTTGAGCCATTCGAGTGCGAACGGCAGCAAGAGCAGCAACACCGATCTTTCCGTCAACTTCAGTCGTACATGTCGCTGGAGTCCATTGGCGGACACCTGTTGAGGCACGTATTGAACAAGCGAAAAAATGGTACAGATGAGACAGACCTAGTCACCATGTACCGGGACACTAACTTAACGTGGCCCATCCGAATGGTCAGTCAGAGACGTTTGGCCCGGAAGTTCAATCATGCCACCAGCAAATCACTGGTAGCCGATCTGCTGTTGGACATGCCGAATCTGTCCAACGACTGGAGTAAGTAACATACAATAATCAAAACGCATTTCAGTGCATCGTATGGACGAAGTAGTTTCTTTGTATATCTAGTTTGCCTGTATGTACAGTAAAACTATTTTTTGTATTATTTATTAGTATACGAGCTTAAAAATTGTAATATTGAAACCACACGTTCAGACGATCAGATAGGACATTATAGGACTTATGATAATGTATTATTAATAATCAGGGACTTATAACACTTATAATCATCAAAATCAGCACTGAAAAAAAATTTAAGTACATCATTATAAGCACTCAAATAAGCACATGAAAATATTAAAATAAGCAAAACAAAAAGACAAACACTATCAATACTTTTTTTTTACATATTATGGTTTAATTTAGACACATAAAAAAAATTCATCTTTAAAAAAATTAAAACTTTTAGCCTCTCAGAGTTTTTGATAACATTTTAACTTCTTTATTATGCTTCTTATATATTTTCTGAAAAATGTTCGAATAAACGAAAAAACATTGAATAATTTAGCCGATTAGTAAATAAGCGAGCAAATACGAGTTCCAGTGTTTATTATTAGGAAATATGATACAAGGGAAAAAGAATATTTTTGTTCTAGGTTCTGAACAAAAATAACAAAAAAAAACAGAAATTAACTAAAATGTCTAGGTTTTTATCATTGGCACCTATCTATATCTAGACTAGGGCGTAAAATATGACAGCAGATATATGCATAAAAGCAAATAAAAGCGCTTTCATATTTCATAATAGATCTGATACACTTCCATGTCAAACCATAAAAATAAGCTAATGCTACAAGTTTCGAGCCCTGTTTATAACAATTAATAGATATGCACTTAATATCCTGAAATATATGATAAAAATGACAAAATATTTAAAAAATCGTACATATAAGCATTTGAGACTAATTTCGTGTGTTTAAAAAAATATTAAATAGAAATAATTTTGTGAGTTTAGAAGGAACCGCATATTCAATACACAATTTTAAACTTATGTAAAACATTGCTGGCGATTAAAGTAAATAAATAACAATAATAATAAACGGTATAAAAAGTTACTTTAAAAACTTGGTACCTTAGCACCTATTGTATATATTATTAGGAAAAATAATTATAAGACGTTATGAGGAATATGTAATTGAAAAAAAAAAAATTATTGATTTATTAAAATATCAGGAAAACAGACAAATAATTGAAAATTCACTAAATATACAAAAGTATGCATAATGCAATAAGTAAAATTTGTATTATTTTATTTTTATTTTTAATGATAATATACATTTTTAGCTTATACTGCTATATTTTTTGTTATTTTTGTATAAAACATGCAATTACTAGAAAATCTATTTCTCAAATAATGCTAGCGAAAATTAATACAGGTAACACTATACAATAATGGTACAATAATGATTTGTCGGTTAAATAAGTTAAATGCTATACTGGTTCTATACTTTTGAACATTTTTCTGTATAGGTACCTACTTTAATGTAGTTTATAATACATAATATCAATCACAACCACGTTTTTAATTTTCTTAAATAACTTTAAATTTACGAGCATTGTCGTGAAAAAAAATTAAAACATTGAATTTCGTGTCTTAAATAATATTTATGATACTATCGAACAAATGTATGTAGGATAGTCGATAAGATAGACACGGTGAGGTATATCTCGTACTTTGAATATAATCAATTATATACAATGTGAGTAATTAATCTAATGTAAATGGTAATACACTAATATACTATGATATAGACTATTTAGGTATATGTGTTGTGTTTTACATTTTAGGCAATTATGTAAAAATCACATGTAAACTGGGCATTCTATACAACTTCCTAAATATTGAGATAGCAGGATATATAATTGATATGAAATTTTACTTTTATCGTTTTATTTACCTTACATATTTTTATTTTTAATGATTCGTTTTATATTCAATAGACAACCTATTTAATTGTATATAGAGGTTAGCCAACCTATCAAACACTTAGACATCTTTTTGAATTAAAGTATCATTATAATATATACATATATATTATACAAAATGGTTCCTATTTGATAAAATAATAAAAAAAATATTTTTTTCTAATTATATAAAATAAGACACATACATTTATGTAAATATACAAATTAATATAATTAGAATTTCTAAAATCATACAAATAGCTGATTAAAATAATTTAAGCATTTTTATTAGCATATTAACTCGTTGAAAGTGAAAAATAGAAAAACCATAGTATTATGCTATTATGTCACATTATAAACTAATGTCACTATAATATATTATACATATATTATATTTAATTTCTTATCAAAAATCATCTAAGTTAGGTATGGTGATAAAGTGTTTTAAAAACTTTAGTAAACATATTTATAATTACTGACTACGAAGGAATCTAGCTGCCTCATTTTATTCCCCTACAATTATTTTTAATAAGAATTTTTTTTAATGTAGGCAAGTGGACAAATCTCCAAGAAAAAAGTTTTAGAATTACAACGAAATAACTAACGTTAATATAAATTGTGTAAACATCGTATTTTTTAATTTTTATTTTAGAATATAAAAATAATTATGAGAAATCTTATTTTAAATTTTCAATTATTAGCTATAAAAATTAAACATTTTATAAATTTTTAACTCCAAAATAGTACAAAAATGCTGATGAATTTCGTCAAAATTTGAAATTTAAATGCTTATAAAAAAATCGTGATTATATATCTTTAATATTTTTAAACTTCTATTGTAACAACTTATGAGTACCTAACTTTGTATTAAATTTTCAAATCTTAGGTATTTCCTGCATTTTTTATGAATTTCTGACTCGAAATAATTTGTCATATAAAATTGTCATAGTATTTGGTGAAAATTAAAAGTATTCACGGTTATTCGTTTTTAAGTTATAACAAATTAACAAAATTAATTTTGTCAAATATTGGTTTTGAATATAGATTCCCGTTTTTTCCGAGAAAACACATCACTGTAAAATCAATAAATTCGTTGTTCCGCTTATAATCTAAAATAATCTAAACATCACAGGTAACTCTAGTTGTATACACCAGACGCCACGCAAAAGCTTGATGTATATAACATATAGTTTTTCGATTTCCGATTCCCAAACCATCAAACGAGTAATTACCAATACCTGCTGTAAGAGTTAATTTAAGGTCTCCTTTGGGCGACTACGTTAACGAGGTCTGCACAAAATAATAATTAAATTAGGTCCAACAGGATGTACACCATGCAACTCAAAGGTTCCTTTACTCTCGAGCAATAGACTGAGATAACGAGTACTGGATGAGAAGGTAAGTACTTCGATTATGTCTTGGTACCTATTTAAAGTGTATTATTCGCCACGACAGCCTGAAACAAAACTTAAATAAAATTCTTGAATAATTTTATTAAGATGTAAAATAAACATAAATAAAACACTAATTCGGAACACCTAGCCCGCACTACGATTGTCGTTTCGCACGTAGGTACAATCGCCGTATTTACGTTCTCGCCGAATCACTTAGCGACAACCGGACTGCCTGTACCTGCGGCGTTATAAAGTAAAATATTAATGTCAACTCAGCACATCTTGCCTCATTGGCCTGCCCTTTATTAATAATTTATAGTTTAAAATAATCCTAGCTATATTGTTTATATATATTAACTAATATTATATATACCTACATTATATAGTCTATAATCTAAGACACTCTGCTGTATAGTTGATGTCGAAAACACCTTGACATTGTCTTTGAGTAGGTCAGTGTTAGGATGCGGTAAGTTTTAATTCGATGATAAATCATGTTTGCAAGCTTAATTATTTACAAGCAACAATTTTATTGTAAATAAATCGAATAAAAACTTATTTAAGTAGGTACAACGTTCAAATGTCTATAAAAGCATTAAGCATCTATATAGCACAATCAGAAGTAAAATATTTTAACCTTTTTATCATGTTTTTGAAATGGATTTATAAATATTTATTGAAAATAGGTACATCCAATGTTCATCAATCTTTTAGTTCTACTACCTACATAGATATATCTTTAGATACATATAGGTTACTTAAGTTTAGGTTAGGTGTACAGATATCTATACATATATAGGGATCTGTTCAAAAAATGAATAAAATGATTTTTTTTGGTCTTCATTACTAGATTTACGATTCAAGCTTGTGTTTATAAGCTACATTTTTTATTCTTAATACCATCTCATCTATTTGTATCATAATCTGTATACATTATTACGTGATTGATATGTTATATTACACTGTGCAGTGACCAAGATACTGGACTGGAGTTCGACGGGCTACTTGACGGCGGCCATTCAATCGTCAGTGCACTTGTGGTCGTGCCACACCCAGAGTGTTCAGTACACGATTGCCGCGGTGGACGAGCACGGGCCAACACAGGCCGACGGAGGCTCCACGAAAATCACCATCGGCTGTCTGAAATGGGACGCACAGGGCGAAAAACTGGGATATTCGTTCACAGTGGATCGGAGAGAAGAGTCGTCGTTCGATTCGTCGGATAATTCGTGGGGAGATGGAGGTCTCGGTGACTCGTCACTCTTAGAACGAATAAACGCGTATGCTGCACTCGATCGGCGAACTTCAGAGCAGGACGACCCTCTCGACGTCACGTATCGATCTCCGGGCATAAATGAGCCTGTTGACGAAACGCTCCGGATACCGCGAATCAATAACGCGATAAAGAGTACCGGGCACATAAAGGTACAGAGGCGTCTTCGAGTAAATTTCGGAAGGAGAATGGTGAAATAAATCTTGTATTGCTAAGAGGACTTTATAGGTACATACGAAATGTACTTGAAATTACAATAATATATAGAACATCACATGGTGCACAGGGACGTGCATCGTGCATCTAAAAGTATGAAAACCAATATGGTTCACATAGATACCGCAGAGTCGAATCATCACTTTGACTGCTAAATTATTGGCAACAATTAATAACTGATACAGTAGGTACCCCAATAGGCATTAGGTTAATATAATCATAGGTAGGATGTGGCAACGAGATTAAATCCCGCATCGGTGGAAACACCGCCAAGGATTGTTGCTTCTCATCGAATGTTTTTCACGTAGTTATAAGTACTGTATTCCTATAGTACTGACCAAATACTAAATATCAGTACCAGTGCAGCACTGTACACGGTACTGTTGAAGCGTTATCATCCTAGATATTTTTAAACTATTTTTAAGTCAGTAAAGCCTGAAAAATAAATTTTGAAATTGTGAGACATATAGACGTTGATTAAAACGTCTGAAAATATAGTGTTCTATATTTTTAATTTATCCTAAAAAAATTTCATTTTTAAATCATTAACTATTAATAGATTTGAGTGTTGTATTATCTTTGTTCTATTTTCTTACGTAAAACTAAATCTACAACTAGTTAGTACGTAATAATATGGCAGTTCACAAGAGCTATTACGTATTTTATAACTGATTTAAAATCTATTGTTCATAACTTAAATTAATTTCAAAATAATATTTAAATCTGTCTTCGCTTTTGGGAGCAGAACATTTTAACTAATCCTAAACTTTTAGGGTCGTTTCCGGTAAAAACGTTGATCTAGTTAAGACTAGTTTATATTTAAAATTACCGTTAGGGCGTAGGGAGTAAGTAAAGTTAGACATTTTAACCAAATAATTATTTTTTAACTATTAATTATGTTATCATTTGCTATTCATAGTGTGGTTTTCAAATTTTTTATTTTCACATCATTTTTTTTAAGATAAAAAGCTATTTCAAAGTATTAAAAATAAGACAAAAGAATATTTTTTTTAGCATTTGAAGTTCAAATTTGAAAAAATTCATTAAAATAACAAAAATCTTCAAATTGTTTTAAAAACTGATAGAATCTTTAACTTTTATAGTTGAAGCTTGAACATTTCATAAAGGTGCCTATAAATATTTCATATTGAAAGCAAAATCTAAAAGTACAAAACTATAATTTTTTTATAATCATTTGAACTTTGAAGTTACGAAATTAGATATTTAAACATACAAAAACACATAGCACTTGTACATATACATACACTTAAAAAGTTTAGTATAAGTAAATTCACAGTTATTTTTTTAATCAGCATTTGAAGATAGAATTTTGAATAGATTTGTCAAAATAATTTTGTATTTAAAAATTTATAAATATTTTAGTATTCATATGTAAGGTTTTTAAAATTACATACAACAATAGGAAAAAGTATATAAATACGCTTTGCGTATACAAATTATAAAATATATAATTTGAATATTAAATCTTCAAAAGAAAATGTATTTGGATACTTTCATTTCCCATTCGTATATTTATTTTATTTTATCTCAAAGTTGTTTTTTTGTTCATATTATTATTTAATAATAAAAGTTAAGTTGCAATTTAATTATTCGTCCGCTTGTAATAATAATATAAAGTTAATTTGATTTAATTATTATCTTTCATAGTTTTTAGAGCCATTTTGGCTTTAGCTGTTTTTTAATCATAAAATATCTATATATTATTTATACATAACTATACAATTAACTATAAAAAGAATAACGATTTAAATTATTTTCTTGTAATTCAAAAATATTAATACTAGGAACCTATATTATTATATTTTACACAGGCACAGAATGAAATGTTTAAGACATTTAGATTAATTTAAAACTATTGCTTATTTATACTAGGAATCTATTCATCATAATGTATCATACCATTAGACAATAGAAACCTATTGCGATAATACCACATACTACATATAATATGAATTAGTCTCTTATAATACTAAAAATCTAAGAATGATTATATGTACCAATAAAACGTTTGATATATAATTATATAAATGAAAAAAGACTCTAATTAGCTATTCATCCTTCACTTAGAATTGTTTTTCTGTTTTTGTAAATAATGATGGATCATTGAATTCAAATTAAATACTTATATTTATGTTACTCAACGAAGAAAATTTCATTCAAAATTCAAAACCAACCATACGGCAAAGCGAGTTCCCTGGTTTTTTTTTCTATGAAAATGCAAATCCATGTTTTTGCATAATATAATTATTGCACTTTGGGGCGGGGAGGGGGGGGGGGTTTTATCAATTAATTATTATTATCATTATACACTACGTATGCTTGCATTTTGCTTATAATTTAACCAACATGTACAGGTAGTTCCTATAATTTTATGATTCTTCAATTTGAAATTTATTATAATATTATTATCACATATTGTTAACAGGTTTGGTTATTGAATCCACCGAATGACAAATCAAATAATGAACAAAAGACATCGAGTTGTGGTTGTGTAACTGATGACACTTGCCAATGGCCGCATGGATGCAGAATTATTGTCATGGATTGGTTGGCCAACGGTCGTGTTTTAGTAACGTTAGTTATAACACAGTTATATAATATAATATGAATTATGATTAACATATGATATGAATTTGAATGGTAGGTAAACAGAAAAATGATGAACTCATAAAATATCTGATAACATTAACTTTATAGGTTTTGCATTTAAAACTATGCCAATATTTCTATGTCAATAATTTTTTTTTATTATTTTACTTAAATATTCAGTTTAAAGTGTTTAAACAAATCCATATTATGTTAAATTATAAGTAGTATCATGGTATAGTCATATTAAACGATTAACTCATAATTTGGAATTTTCATATTTTTATTATGCGACCAATTAAATATATATATATTTATAGGATACAGTCATATCAGTCCACATAAGCTTATGTGTAAAGGACATCTTAAACATATTTATCATAGAATTTAATAGCTAAACATAGGTACTGTACGTCTGTATTACTGTAGATTAGGTAGTGTATATATTATATACCCATGTGGCTTAATAGAATATCATAATCATATAATTGTAAGTAAAATAGTAAAAATGATCTAGGTACTATAATTATTTTATTAAATATGCATATCTCTTGCATTATGATGAAAATGTTTTAAGACTATTACCTACTTATAGTACCTATCTATAGATAATAATAATACCATTCAAAAGGTGACCTTATGGTACCTATGTATTATACTTGTGCATACAAATAATAAATAGTATCTTAAAGGGATATCGTCATACCGACTGTTTGTAAGGAATTCAATATAGAAAATATTCTAAGTACTTGCATGTAGATCGTGTTGTAAATGTGTATTTAATAATTTTAATATAAATGATCTTTAGTGTGACTGGAGAAATGATGTAAGAGAAATAATAGCGGATCGCTTCTGCACATGCATACTCATGTCAATAACACACTAAAAAATAATATTTTTTTTTTTTTGTAATTAAAGTATTTTTATTCAATCTGTTTCAATACATGAACAATAAGAATAAGAGATGAAGTAAATTAAATAAAAAAAAAAATAAATAAATAAATGACAGATTTTTCCGACTGTAGAGGCCTCCCAGCGGAGGTACTACGATATGAGTAAGACTAAATTAGGCTAGCAGGTCACGACACCACTGTCTTTTAAGTCTTTTAACTGGACTACCTGGGATAGAAGCAAATGAAAGATTGGAGATTAACGAATTCTTATGATGGGCTAGGAGGCTATTGAAACGTTTATAGAGAGTTTTGACTAGTTCGGAGACAAATGGAATTTTTAGGTCAGAGTGGAGGGTGTGGTTAGAGACATAAAAGGGTGCTTTTAGAATGGTACGTAGAGTTTTGGATTGGAATCTTTGAATGCGGTTGATGTTGGAAATTTTGGTAGCGCCCCATAGTTTAATCCCATAAGTCCAAATGGGTCTTAGTAGGAGTTTGTAAAGCAGCAGCTTATTGGAGAGTTTCAAATGCTTTGATGTTAGAAGTGGACGAAGGAGTCGAAAGCGGTCGTTAAGTATACGGGTTTTGCTTATTATGTGAGGTTTCCAGGTGAGACGGCGGTCAATGAGTATACCAAGGTAACGTATGCACTGCGCAGGGGGGAGTGGTTGATTATTGAGGTAAAGTGTTGGGCATACACCGTGACGAAGTGCAAAAGTACCGTGGATGGATTTGGTTTCATTCATTTTTACGTCCCATGTTTTGTACCACGATTCAAGGGAGAAGAGATGATCTTGTATGTAGGAGGAGGCTAGAACACGGGATCTGAGCTGGTTGCTAGTATGGCTTTGTCGTCAGCAAAATCACCGACTAAGGTATTGGGTGAAGTAGGCTGGTCAGAGATGTAGAGATTGAAGAGTAAGGGAGCAATTACCTGCTTTTATTTCAGTAGGAGAGGAGAAAGAAGAACCTACACGTACGGAGAAGAACCTATCTTCGAGGTAGGATTTGAGGATAAGATAGTAGTGGCTAGGAAGGATAAGTTTTAATTTATAAAGGAGGCCTGAGTGCCAGACTCTGTCGAAAGCTCGGGAGACATCAAGGAAAGCACCAGTGCAGTATAGTTTTTCCTCCAGGGCAAATGAAATTTTGTCAACCAGGCGATGAATCTGATGGATCGTTGAGTGACTGTTGCGAAAACTGAATTGTGAGTCTGGTAGTATTTTAGCTTCATCAACTATTGGGAGTATTCGTTTGAGAAGGAGTTTTTCAAATAGTTTGGAGAGAGTTGGTAGGAGACTTATAGGCCTATATGAGGAAGAACAGTCAGGGGTTTTTTTTTGTTTTGGTATGAGTATTATAATAGAATATTTCCATAATATAGGAAAGTATGATAAACGAAGCATAGCGTTATAAATTTGCGTTAGAAAAATTATGGTTTTTCTGAGAAGGTGTTTGACCACTTCCGCTGAAATTAAGTCAAATCCAGGAGATTTATTTGGTGAGTTTTTCTTAAGATTAAATTCAACTTCACTAGGGTAAAAAGCTCTAGGAGGAGGATACAATGGAAGAGGAGAGTTTAGAAAGCTTTCAACTTCTTGGATTTTGGTTGGAGAGATAATATTGTGATGTGGTTGAAATGTGTTTGATAGGTGGTTGGCAAATATGTTGGCTTGAGATTGTTCAGACAATGCCCAGCTACCATCAGCATTACGTAGGGTAGGGGGAGGATTGTGAATTCATAGTAGTTTCCTAGTGGATTTCCATAGGGAGCCGTCTATGCCAGTGAGAGAAGAAATATAGTTTGCGTAAGACTCCGATTTAAGGTTAGCTAGGAGACGTTTCAACTTTTGGGTAAGTGCATTGTAATGGGATTTGTCAAAGGGTATCGAGTTCTTTGCCAAATAACCCGAGCGCGACGTTTTTTTGAGATGAGAGTTCGTATGTAGGAGGGGAGATGAGGGGGAGGCTTAACGTGCAAGGGCACAGGTTTAGCTGAGTCCCACACAGAGGTTTGGATATTAGTTGTGAGTAGGTTTACTGCGTCATCGATATCAGAGGGAATCTTTAGGGGATGGTTAAGGCAGGTTTTTTCAGATAGGATTGTACTAAATTTGTCCCAGTCGATTGGAAATTGTGATAGAGCTGAGGAGTTGACTTTAGCTTGAGAAAGACAGTCTAGCGAAAGCATGACTGGCGAATGGTCTGAGCAAGGGTCAATGAGATTAAACATTTGGGTGTGGAGATTTCTTGGAATCTTAGTGACGAAGATATCTAGGATGTCTGGCATTTTTCGACGGGAGTTAGGCCAGTATGTATAATTTGGAGGTGCAATGACAGTAGAGTTGGTAGTTAGTAGGGATTGGAGGAGAGAATTTCCTCTAGGGTTTGAGGCACGACAGCCCCACTGAGGATGCTTTGCATTTAGATCACCACCTATGACGTAGTTGTTGTTGAATGTGGAGAAAATTTCAGTAAATCTGGCAGGGGAGATTTTGTGTTTTGGTGGAGAATAAACAACTGCGAATGTGATAGGGATATTATTAATTATTAGAAATATTGCGCAGGATTGAATATCGTCAGATATGAAGTTTGGGAGTGGTATGTATTTAAGTGAAGATTTTATATATATTGCTGCTCCTGCATGTGCAGTGTTGTCTGGGTGGTTTGCACGGTAGGAATCGTAACCAGTGAGGTTGACATATGAGTTGGAGGTGAAGTGGGTTTCAGATATAAGGACAATGTCAATTCTTTTTTCTTGGAGGGTGAGGAGAAGTTCATTAGTGTGATTCTTTAGTCCGTTAGCATTCCATAGAAGGGTGAGGAGAGAGTTAGAAGTATAGGAGCTAGGCATTTTGTTTAGTATCAAGGAGCTTGGAGATGACAGAGGTGAGGAGAGTAATTAGAGGATTGATAACAGATTTAAATTCATCTAAAAACTTAGAAAAAACATCAATATCAGTTTTGGGGGAATGGTTGTCGCAAGATTGATTATGAGTGGTGTCGTTACCTGTTACATTTGCATAAGATCTGGGGCGCGTGTTTGATTGAAGATTGGAAGATGGCGAGCTGGTTGATGGAGCAGGGCATTGAGGAGGCTGCTTTAGATGAGGTTTCTGAGTGAGTTTGGTTGTGGTGAGTGGGTGACAGCGGCGGTTTTGGAGCTCCTTGTGAACAGTGCAGCCTTTGTAGTTGGCTGGGTGACTGCCGGAGCACAGCGCGCAGGTGGCGGGAGTGTCAGGCGTTTTTCCGCATACTGAAGTTGGGTGGCCCTCACCACATTTAACACAGCGTGGGGGGTAGGAGCAGTAAGGTCTTGTGTGCCCGTAAAATTGGCAGTTAAGGCATTGTGGAATATCGCGGCGTGTATGAGGTTCCTCGACTTTGACTAATGTGTGCAGGATTGACTTGACGTTGAAGATGTCTTTGTTGGAGGGGTCAGGCTCGAGATCAACGAAGAACATGGAAGAGCCATTTTTGTTTGGTGATGCTTTATATTTGTGACTTGCCTAGTTGAGAACCCAATTTCCTCAATTGCCGAGGAGATATCTGAAGTTGGGGTGGAGGGGTGAAGATTTCTTATGACCACTCTGTAAGATTTCTCTGATTGAAGCTGATAAGTATGGAATGATGCGTTGTTTTCATTTAGGAAATGGATTATTTTTCTATAGTCATCAGATTTTTCGGCTTGCACTTTTAAATGGGTGGATGTCGATTTACATACGAAGGTTAGGTAAATAATATTAATTTTTTTTTTTTTGACAAAAGTATCAATCTAAATCTTATCTATTTATCCGATAAGATTTCTGAATATTAATCTGTATTCGTCATGAAATTAAATCGAAAGTGAATTTCTTACAATTTTAATTATTTTTTCCATTTAAATATTTTTTCCATTTTAAATAATATATTTTTTAAATTTAAAAATGTAATTTCTAAGGAAAATGGATTAGGAGTTCAATTTCAAAACAGTGAAAAAGTTGTTTTTAAGTTGACTTTGTGACGAATTCAAAAATATTTTCTGAAATTTAATCTGATGACTACGATAATTGATACAATTGGTATAAGATCAAAGAATAATATAGACACGTACGTGTTAAGAAAACGAAACCAGACAAATTCGACAGTACGCATTTAATGGAACTATTGGTCGCAAGATAACAAAATTTTTTTTTTTTTTTACTAAGAAAATTTACAATCTGTATTTACATGATACAATAAGTAAAATGGATAATTGATATAACCCTATATACATAAGATAACAAAAGCTAACCTCAGATTTATATTTTGAAATGTTATTATCAACAACGTTTTTTCGTCATTCGCCGACTTTGCTCTACTTGTTGAGTCCTTGTTTGCTTTGCCGACTTTTACAACTCGTTGTGCGTCTTTTTAGTCTTAACTGGTTCTATACATTTGAAAAACCCTTTTTGTACATCAAACTGTGTACACAGAAAAAGTTGTTGCTTATGCGCAAAATACAAGAGTTAAAAAATGTATGATCTAATAGTTTAGTCTCACATTCGTTATTCCACAAACAGTATTGAAAAATATATATTTAGAACTGAGAAATATAAGCATCTGAAATATAGAGTATACACTGTTCTTGTGGACAGTGGACACTCAATAGATAGTAGGGTACATAATACAATATTATAATACTATTTAACATATATTTATCATATGTATCACCTATTTTGAATCTTAATAATTGTATATTCAATATATATTTTATCGATGAACAAAATAATTGTCATTAATAATATTATATATAAAAATGTATTTACAATATTCCCATTGTGCAATAATATGTTGCAGAATGCATTAAATATAATAATGAATAAGATTGTACAATAGAACTTATTGTATGTTGTGGTAACACTGAAAGTACACCAAGTTCTCTTCCAATTGCGTTCGTAAAGCCCTCTCTATAGTATTACTCTATGTATAAGATTATTCTATTTTGTTAAATAACATAGACGGGATGGAATTATCTTAAACATATTTATTTCAATATTTCGTTGCACACTGACACTGCGTAGGTTAGAGGTAGAGCACTTCGAGGTACAAAACAATCGTCATTTCATTATGTTGTTTTGCGTATTTCAGGGGATGCACTAGGTCCAAAGTGACATTTTTCCGGTACGATTTCGCCCAAAAGAAATTGATCGTTACCCGCATTATACACACGATTGAAAAAAATTCGGTAATAAGCTGCCTGCACGTGTCGCAGGACAAATGGAGTCGTCACTTGGCCGTGGCCACACACTCGCAAAAGGCGTGCGTATTGAAAGTTTGGCGCATCGAAGACCCACTGGAGTTGTGCCCACACCACGATCGGCGCTTCGATTCTACTATCAATGTGACCGAAACTTTGACCGACCGTTACGACAGTAAACAGAATGGCCAAGTTAATTGGCTGATAAAGGTATAAATCATATGTCATTATAGTTTATTGTGTCTGCGATTTGTCGTGTACACAGAACGCAATAATAATACTATTGCCTATTGGCACTGACGGATTCCGAAATAGATTTGTTTGTGCGTTTCTGGTACTTTTGATGGCGTGTACAATATCATCGTTCAGCTGAGCTGCATACAGTTTTCGGGCATCGGCCTTGACTAAAGGATTTAATTCGGAGAGTTGCTGACGGTTTTCTACGATTTATTAACACTACAGCTTTAGGAAGTCAAGTCCGTGCATTCAATCTTTGTAAACCGCATTTAAATCGCATAGAAATTACTTTAAAAATATAATATAGGATTAAATATAATGTTCTAACCTTGATATGGTTAATCATACTTTTTTAAATTTAAAGTGTCTTATTTTGGACGGATAGTTCTGTTATAGTTGACTCCCGAAGTCAAAAAGGTCGATAATTGTAATACAAATTGACTCCCAGCTATACATGTACTAGTTACTTCCCGAAGTACTAAAAGTTGAGGTCTAGTACTAGTTATTTCCTTACAGGCAGGCATTAAATGCATAATTGATTCAAAATGTTTTATTTATATTTATTTGGTACAATTATATTAGTATAATATTTACTCGTATTCTCGTACATCGTAGTATATAATATGTAATGGTGATTTTACCACCATTATTAAATATGTTGTTATTGATTACTTGACTTTATTTTTAATAATTTTGCATTCTAAATGTATAGGTATATTACCTAAGACAGATGTTTTTTAATCGTGCTATATAAATCCAAACATCTAAAAAAATGAATTTAAAACATTTAAATTATTCTCAATAATTCAATAATTTTAATATACAGTTCTTTCTATATTTAAAATAAAACTCCATAAACAAACATTATAAAATATAAAAATATCTAAACACCTATAAGACTAATATTTATCATTATTATGTAATATTATATTAATTTATATTATACTAAATTGTATGTGTTACTATAACCTTAATTTATTTTAATTATAACATAATATTTATTTATTTATTTACGTAGAAGATCTATTGAAGATTATTAACTCCAGAGATTAACAACTACTTAATTCTTAAAAAAAAAAAAATTTTTGGGAAGGAACTCATTTATAATTAAGAATTATCTGCTCTTTGAGGTCACTAGCATTTGTGAACTTTTCTATTACAATATAGACCAGACTATTTTAACGCAATTTGTATACTTTGGGGAAAAACTAGAATACGATTTTTGTACAAACCGTAGGTAGGGACTTATAGTTTTTTTTTATTGAGAGCATTTTTGAAACAAAAAGTTTAGAAAAGTGTAAGAAATATAAAAAAAGTTTTTATTTAAACAAATGGTAGACGACTAAAGTATATAAGGAACAGAAATGTGTGTTCAAATATTATGTTTTTGTAATTGATTTATACCTAATATAGATGTCACGGGTAATGTTAACATTTGGATAATGTCGACATTATCTGACTAATGTCAACATTAGCCAACTGTTATCATTACCCGCCATGAATATTATTAAATGCTGGCTAATGTTAACATTAACCGGTTAATATGACATTAGCCAAGGACTTATGGATAATGTCTTAACAACTATAAAATTGCATCATGCATGATATGAAATCATTTTAAATTATTAGCAATATTAAATATATTTTAGATACAATTAACCATATGCAAAAAAAAGATACAATAATTACTAATTACCATAAAATACATAATACGAGTATAATTTAAATGAGTTTATACTAATAATACAATATTAAATTTTATTTTATATTTTAAGATTTTTTATTTAAACGACGAGATTTATGGTTGCCTTTCAATTCATTAATTACATTTAAATATTTTTCATCTGCAGATAAATAAGATGAATTATCTTCTCTTTTTTCAGACAATAATTTCTCAAATAAATTATAAAATTCCATTTTTGTTTTCATTTTATTTAAAAAATTAAATTTAAAACACTTAACACTGTACTGGAAACTGTCACACGTGAAAACTGAAACAGACTAACAACAGATCGAAGCGAGACGTCGCATAGGTATAAAGATGAAATAAGATAAATATTAAGTTCGTATATATTTGCTATTTTATCGGTAAGATATATAACTGACTAACTCAGTTATAAGTTAAGATAAGATATTATTAGCTGGGGTCAGCAACCCGTGGCCTGTGTTGCGATTTTAAGCCTGCGATTACAATTTATCTAAATTTAAAAATCATATTAATTTATTAGTATTTTGATATTTTTAATTTTTTTTATTATTATTATGTGTTATTATTAAAACTGTGTTAATATATACCACGTTTAATTATACCAAGCAGTGATGAAACTTAAATAAATTAAATTTGATATAACTTTTAAAATTTAGATTGTACTAATATAATGAAGTGTGATATATAGGCCCATAAATTTTATTTTTTATTTTTTGGTCCTTGACACCAAAAAAGTTGCTCACCACCATAGAATGCTAAAAAACCTCTATATAGCCTATTTAGTACATAACTTTTAACATTATCCAAAATTGACTGGCTAAGGTTAACATTATCCGGATAATGTTGATATTTCAAGTTTATAAACGAAAAATTACACATTAGCCAACACGAATGGCTAATGTCGACATTATCCGAATGTTAACATTACCCGTAACATAGATATAAATTTTTACGTAAAAATGTGGGTTAAAATATGTTTTATTAATTGATTTATAATATAGATAATTATTTTTATGTTTATGTGTTATACTATCACAATTACATTTTTTGACAACCAATTGAAGTAGTGTAAAGCACATGAATTTTGCAGGAAGCCCCCCCCCCTCCCAACTCCCCGATTATAATTGTAACTTGTCAGTTATCGTTAAATTATATATGTATCAATTGCGCAGTAATAAAGTTACATTTTTTATAAGTATTTTTTTTTTTGATGATAGATAATTCTACAGATTATTTTAGGAAACTACCAAAAAACTAGCGTTCTAAAATACCACATATAGTATAATTACGATTTTAAATTTTTACTGCCTTGAGGGATTGGGTAAACATTTCTACAGCTCCTTCTAGAATAAAACATTGAATAAGTCTTGCAGGAATGTCAAATAAATCCAAACAAACAAAATATGTATCTGGTATTTTGGTCAGATGCCCCAAATTCAAAAAAGCAAATGTATATGAATTAATAATTTTTTTATAATAGTCTGAAAATATAATGCTGTTGTTAATTATTCATAAAATAAAATGTAGTTATTTCATTTTTGGTAATACATATTTCACATAAATAAATAATATATATTTTGTATACATAGCAGAAATATACGAATTTTGTATTGTACAATATTATAATATGTACTCCACACACTGTTGAGTATATGTATAGAATTGCATATTATTAAACACAATATATAGACAATAAATCTGATTACCGATCTCACCATCACTTGATAAGAAAGGTGCAAATGATGATAGGAAAGTGTGATGGTTGCAATTGTAGCATATAATATCATCATGTAATAGTTTAAAGACTGTCGCTTTAAGGGGACTATGATAGCTGGTATCCACCTACTTGTTATCACAATGTTATGACTCAGTCACGATTTAAGTTAGGTTTATTTCACTAATCTCCCCGCCCCCACTCTATGGAAAACTATCCTGCTCAATAAAAGTGTTGTTGGTACTAATTTCTTTTTAAATTAAATCGTTTAAGAGGATGTTGTCAGACCACTGTGTTTATCTTTCTCTGGCTTACTCTAAACATAAACCATATACATATAATGTTTGTTCAGTATAATTTTTTATAGTAGGCAATTTTACTCTTAGATATAAAAATATAAATGCAATGAATGCGTTTTATCTATGTTCCCCTCGAGTCTGAAAAAGAAAACAAATATTGTGCTGACATCCCCGCAACTGTAAGATGATCGGGAGGATCCTCCCAGCCCTAAGTGCACCTGTTACCGGTACGACTGGTAATCGACTATCACTATGTTTATATAACCGTCGCATATTGCAACGAGTACCTGTACATAAAAGTATCTACCTATCTACCATATTATGTTAAAATATAGGCCTTCGCTTGGCACCCGTGGAAACATGCTTTGATGTGTTACGCTGTCACATCGGTTCCACAGGACGGGATGCAGATGTACATCAATCTCAAGTCCCCCTCGTGGTTTGTGTTGGCGAACGCGTGCAAAGGACAAGTGTTGAAGCGCATCGAACAGACCGCAAGCAACTGCTGTCCGACGGTGGACATACTGCACGTAAACACGCACTCCATGACGTTCAGCCGACTGACCGGTGAACTTCTGGTGTCGGCCACGACCGTGTACAATGTCAGTGAGTACAACGATAATTATATTAGTTAGTAAGTAATATAATATGATTGGAACGCGTTACGCGTGTCACCCTCGTGCACGGGTTACAATATAGTCGGTAGATATTAGGTTCCGTGTACGGATAAGTTGCCGGTTCTCACACCAAAATTTGATCATAACATTCTTATACCTAATAGGTAAGTATCAACAACAATAACGTGCCGAAATTTTACTTTTTTTTACCCCACGGTTAACTCTTGTTTGATATACTGGCAATTTTAATGAGATTTTAAGAAAAATATTAATTTTAATCATATTTAAATAACTTATAGGTACCTATAATAGTTCAAGTTATACTTAATAGTGGTCATACGACATACGTCAGTAGCCAGTACGTACTGTTGATACTTGATAGTTAAGTATTGCATATGATTAAGAAATGATGTTTGATAAAAAGGGTAGTGAAAGTTATCCATCGATAAAAAAAACAGTTTTCATCATAAAAATATGAAAACATTGTGCATTTGTGTGATATCGTTTTTATTTTTTCAATATGACGTTAACAATAATCAAAATGTTCTAAAGTTTCGGGAAATGAAAACAAAAGTGTAGGTGGTAATGAAATATGATCCTGAGGTCTGAATACAAACAGCACTGTTGATGGACTAGTTCTTGAAGAAAGAGTAGTACTTTGCACGATAACACTCGGTGTTCCATACACATATATACAGATCCATCTTCCATCGTTGGTCGTTTCCGAATATATTTGACGTTTCGGCTCCATATTGTGGTATCTTAATTTATCTCATAGTTCTAAATAATTTATTTTTTCTATTTTACAGGATATAACGCCAACTCAATTCCCGCCATAGTAGAAAAAAACAGCGTCGTGGTGATGCACGCCTTGGATCGAATCATAGAGACATTGAGCAGTAGCCACACGGACAGAGGACTGTTTTTTGCGTGGAGTCCGGATGGAAAACGTATAGGTATTGTGTTTATCGCATCATCACGTTCACTGTCCCCAAGTTTAAATCAAATTGAAAATCAACGGTCATATAGGTATCAATAAACGCGTGGTTCATTAATTCGACTATTGATTTCACAATAAATACATCTACGTACATATTGTGTGTGTGCATACAATTAATTGTGAGAAGCGATATCATATTTCGAGATAATAGAGTTTCTTTATACGTAATATGATACACAAATATTAACATAGTGAACTCCAGCAGTATTGTACTACTAACTTTCTAAGTTTTGTTTTGTGACCGATGGAATAAATAAACAATATTATACACCATCACACAATGTGGTCAATGGTCATCGAACAGTGAACGTGTCCGGTTTTTATAATAATATAATATTATATATAATGGACGGTGATATACGTCGTGAATTCTTTTGTTTCTTTATAATTATCTAAAATCGTTTTTTTTTATTTATAGCTTTGACGAGTTCCGACGAATCGTTGAGAATATGGAACTTTTGGCCGACCAGTAACGTCCAAAAAAAATCCAATAGTTGTCTACCACACGTCTACACCACAAATGCGAGTACCGCGGTTACTTCGGACCATTTCACTGAAGATGGAGACTTAAGCAATAGCAATTACAGACTTATACACAACCGGAGCTCTCAAAATAGCCAATCAGCGATGTCCGAGCTATCGTTGGATGCAGCTCGCATAATCAAATGATCGTAATGATGAGACTTGCGTTATGTTTAATTTACGTCACGCGGCGGGTGTGAGAATAATCGGACATTTATAAAAATGTTCGAGTCAATAAATAAAAAAAAAACCTAAGTGTTACATGCTAAAAGTTAACTACTACATTTGGTCCAAGGTTAAATGCCTACTTAACTTGGGGCCACTTATGGATATCATAATAAATTATAATTTTATCGTTGGTTTCCTTATCTTTTTCTATACACAGATGTTATATTTATATAACTACTACGACTTCCGTAATCTTTGATTCTATCTTTCTTTTTCTAGTAATTATTTTACTCATTTGTAAGGTACATTTTTCTCAGCTTGTTTATGTAATTATGAATTTAATTTTGTATTTTTATATTTTTTTATTTTTTTATTACCTATTATTGTATACATATAATTACCATTATCATTAGTATTATTGTGTTACGGGTGGTATTCAAAATTTGCAACTGCTATACAATTTAATTTTTACACAACATGCATTATAATATATTTCATATAGTACCTCTTATTTATTTTTATTATTATTATTATTATTATTATATTAAGTTTATTCCAGTGTTGAATAGCACTCACGGCCATGACGCTGAACAATAATATAAAATATCATGCGGTGTAGTTATTCAGCTATATCTTTATTCTTTATCATTATTGTTCTTGGAGCTGTAGCCAAAACAAGGCTACAAATAAATATAGCTGAACAATTAGTATATTTTTTATACAGAGTGATTCACTGATTCATCGAGCAGTCCACCCCCTCGACCTCTGGCTCTTTTTATTCTTTAATATGGCATTTACTAAAATTCTGAGTTTTGGAATTTTTAAGTTTACCTATTAAAAGATTTTAATCAAAGACCACATTTCTTGGTGAATCATCCTGTATAATCCTGGATTATTCCCGATCCACCTCTAGTTCTCAATACTACATAATGTTAGTAATTAGTTATTATATAGTATCACATAATATTAAGTAAAATATCATATACTAATCAGTAATCATAAATTCCACCATTAACATCAGAATAATTCTAAATTTTAACATAGTATAACATATTAATATAGGAATATTAAATATTATATAATTTTTGTATAATCCAACATAATTACATAAGCTGAAATTATTGGTGAGAATGATTTCTGGAGGGGGGATGGGCCGAGGGTAGCATTTATAACACGCGAAAATTAATCATAACATTCTAACAATGTAATGATTACATATTGGAACTCAAGTTTAAAACTATACATTAAAAGTGGACAACTGAGAGAATTTTTTTTTATTTTTTTAATAATATTTTCATCGTCTAAATGTCGAAACAGTTTTCAACTAATAATGAATACACTAAACTTTTGTGACCCATAAATATCTATTCTACTATAAACATAAAATAAATTTGAATCATTTTTTATTTAAATATTCTTGTATTAAAAAAATGTAAATCTTGGCGAGTTCGAAACATTGCACATTGTTAAAAGTGAGATGTCAACTCATTATAGACTATACAGGGTGATTCTATTAATAGTAAACACTCAATATTTCCAAAAGTATTAATGTTTTTGAAAATGTTTTTTTTATACATTATTTGGAGTCATAATGAAACAATCAAATTTTAAAAATGATATTATATTTTATCTATTTTTTCCACTATCATTTTGTATGTTTTTAATTTATTGACAACATACTTTTTTATTCCGTATTCTGAAACAGATTACTTCTCTAAGAATTTTTACATTTGTGACCTATATTGAATTTTGAACATACGGTAAATGAGTTATAATATAATATATTAGAATATATAACAATTTTAATTAAGCAAACTGCCAACCATGGTAGGTTGCCAAGAGCCATAGTATACAAAATCAATATTAATATACATAGCCACATAGATAAATAGATTGATTGTGATATAAAAAAATTGTGGTTAAAAAATGATTAAGTCTTAAGACTTAATGAATTATCCTTTTTTATGAGAGTAGAGTTCTAGTAGAACAACATATTATTATGGGCAGTGGAGGGTTTGGTAAATAGAGTCGTATAATATAGTCAGATAAAACGAAGTATGGCCATTATCTGGTTACACTTTAACCTTTTGATAATACATTTACTTCGGATAATTCGGATCATCAAAAAAAAAAGGTATCAAAACCACAGACTTCAATTGGTACTATCGTCGGGATCAGTACAAATACTGGAGTCACTCCACATATAAAACTAATTACTATATTGTCTACTTTTAAGTTTTAATATTAATAGGACGCTACATCCGCATGTGTTGTCTCTGTCTTACAAATGTACAACATAGCAAAAACTGTTTTGCGCGAGATAGAACCACTCAGCCTGTAGTCCTAATAGATGAGACACCAAAAGCTTACACAATACAGAAGAGATAATATTTTCTGTGTGGTAGCGTTTTTACTAGTTTGGTATCATTAATAAGAAAAAAGTTGTAATCCTTTTAAAAATCTGATATTGACGTTTTCCAAACATTAATTATTTTTGGTTTATTGGTCTATATAGGTACTTACTGTATCCACTCGGGATTATTATTATGTATTCAATAATTTAGCATTGAATTCAAATTAACAAATCCATTACAACAGTGACTTACTCAATGACAACGTTCGCCCGAAATCTACACACAAAAATTACTACCAACATATAGATTCATTCCTGGTGCTTAATACATTTGAAATTAAATAGTTATTGAATTTAAACATAATATGTACACCATCTCTTACATGGGCGGATGGGTATACCTTTTTACGGTGATATATTTATTAGGGCCACATATAGTTAGGACCTATATATGTATATTTATATTGTATAAAAAAATGCTCGCAATACTTTTTACAGTGAAATCATATAATATATATTATACACAATCAATTGTTAAAAAAATATAATTATTACAAATCATAACAATTTTTTTTAATGCACTATACCTATTAATTATTATTATGGTTGTTTATTTTTATCATTCTAACTTTGATATTAATTTGTATATATTTACATTTAATACATTGTTTAGTTTTAGTACAATTTATTATAGTACATACAACAAAATACTAATGTGTATAGTTTAATTTATTGTCAAATACCTACTTGATTCGAAAATTAAACAAAAAAAAGGGGAACCACGTTAAATATACATACTCCCATTGCTTTATCATATATTTTATACGAAAAAAAAAGCCAAAAAGAGGAATTTGACACCCCCCAAAAAACTATACTTATATTGTTTAGATTTTTTGATACAGTGTGAAATACTTACATAGAACCTTGTCTTATACTTATAAGATTTTTGATCCAAAATTTTCTAATCGACATTAATTTAAAAAAAACTAATATAAATCTAAAATTTCATATTCCTAAAAAAGCTATAAATATTAAGAAAATTGTGCGGTGTGTAGAAAATTCTAATATAAATTAATTCTAATAAATATTAAATACAAATATATAATGAAAATATCATGTATATATACGGTTATTTTTTTATAGTTACTCCAATAAACAAAATCGATTTTGTCAAAATAAATATTTTATAATGTTTTGATGTTGAAATATTAAAATTCACGAGCTTAAATTGATTTTTTCATATCAAATATTATTGTCCATCAGCTTTCATAAAAATAAATTATGACTTAAATGTAATGTCTGAATTTTATTCAAACTTATCTATGACACGATGATGACATTTTTGTTTAAACAAATACTCACTACATTATAATCGCAAAAGTACTGGTTAATAGTTTTATTATGTTTAATTTACTATTAGGTACCTAGGCAGATTATTTTTAAATACCTAGTTAATAAGTTGGGTGTGTGATAGATATTTTACGACCACTATGAAAAAAGTATTTGTTTTTAATATTTTTAATCATTAGTATAATAATTAATACCATTAATATAAATTAAACATATTTTAATATAATATTTAAAAATATCCATCAATTATAATATTTAATACAAAGAAATACTTTATCCGCAATTCGAGGCCATTATACATTATGGTTGTAATTAGAGAAAAGATAAATCCTCAAAGCCTCTTTAAAATGTTTTAATAAATATCATCAACACGAGTGTGTTCAAGTGGTTTTAATACTTTAATATAATGCATAGACAGAGCTCTGGTATTTATCATCTTCTAAGAGTTGAATTATATGCATAAATGTGCGTTGAAAACACCAAAGTAAACACTTAATATTGTATGCTACAAAATATAAATAATACACTATGAAAACAGATATAATGTGAGTTTGTTTTAGACTAAATATGAAAAACATGCTAATTATTCCAATGAAAATATTAAATTATTAAACCTTTTAACCGTACCTAACCTAAAACGTTTTATATTATTTAGAAAAAAAAATTAAACGTAAATTAATAACGAGCAATGATTAATCCTCATTTAATTTTTGAGGTTTTTTACATTTTGATTAATTGTTGTTTATACAAAAAACTCACAATAATTCTACATTATTTTAAGTATAAATATTCCCGTACAAAATATATATTATATTTAAATTATATTGCCTATGTATGTGTTTACAGTTATAAATCATTAGCATAATAATGAAATTATGTAATTTGTGTATTTTTTAATCATTTTTATATAATGACTTATTACTAAATTGAGTTCTTAAAATAAGAAAAAACCAATTCACAATAGCACGGTAAATAAAGTTGGACCTAGATGTTTAGGAAGTAAGCGTTTTATTTTGATATTTGATATTCTCTTAAAAGTATGCACACCTTGCTTGTGTTCTTGTCTTCAATGTTCAAACATTTTATTTAAATTAATTTAATTTGACGTCAAATCATTCAAATGGTTTTTGACTCAATGTTTAGTGCAGGAAACATTTGTACTGAATAGGATAAGTCTAAAATCTTGTGATCGCTGTCGATATAAAATATTTAATTAGGTATCGTTGATAAATTATGCGTATCTACTACTATAGTTTATAAGTATTTTTTTATTAAGAACCAAATTCGATTTTTTCTATTCAGTTTCAAAGTGAATCTCATTTAGCGTTATATTCATAATTGAGTTTTTCATCTTACAAAATTATCCAAATTATATTCTGTATAAAACGGTTCATTTTTTTGTCGGATAACTTGCGGGTTGAATAAAAAGCTATTATATTGGAAATCATACATTTCACACAAATTCGAAGATTGTTTTGTTTCCAATTGAACACGTATTCGGGTAAGGATAAGAACCATTTCTTCAAAATTCATTTTCTTTTTAACAGCTAGCCTAGCTGGTGACAAGAAAATATTAACTATGTACCAGGTCCAACGACTTGCGCCCATTTACTCAACGACGGTACAAAAAT